TTAGAAGATACAAGTCTATAATTTTGCCTGTGGTTCTGTATGGGTGTGAAACTTGGTCTCTGACTTTAAGGGAGGAACATAGACTGAGGGTGTTTGAGAACAGGGTGTTGAGGATAATATTTGGTTTGAAGAGAGATGAAGTGACAGGAGGTTCGAGAAAACTGCACAATGAGGATCTTCATAACTTGTACTCTTCTCCAAGTATAATTAAAATGATCAAGTCAAGGAGGATGAGGTGGACAGGGCATGCAACACGAATGGGAAAGTCGAGGAATGCGTAAAGGATATTGGTGGGAAAGCCAGAAGGAAAGAGACCGATGGGAAGACCAAGGCGTAGGTGTGTGGACAGTATTAAACTGGATCTTAGAGAGATAGGATGGTATGGTATTGATTGGATTGATCTGGCTCAGGATAAGGACCATTGGAGGGCTCTTGTGAACACGGCAATGAACCTTAGGGTTCCATGAAATGCTCGGAAATTCTTGAGTAGCTGCAGAATTGGCGGCTCCTCAGAAGGGCTCAGCTCCATGAGTAAGTAAGTAAGTAAGTAAGTAATAGAATGGAACTGGATTTGTAGTTCCTCCCATGACCCTAGAACTGAGTTAGAATTGTCCTCCAGTGTGGAGTCACCTGTCGTCTTGCTGCATGGAGCAACACGGAGCAGGAGACAAGACATCCTGCAGAGCATGCAGAAGCACGGAAATGGGACGTTGTGTTCCCCTCAAGAGAGCGCTGAATTGCCCGGAGAATAAGTAACAGAGATCATTTCATGGCCATGAGTTCCATATTTATTGCTGTTTATTCGGTACTAAGCGGGCAGATAGTTTGAGATGGTTGGGAAATGAAGAAAAAACTACAGGAAATTTTGGATTAACATTCCCATGTCATTCACGCATATTTCGACTGAACTCTGTAAATTTTACCACAGTACAGGGGACATATTTACAGCAATGAATCTCAAAATTTTTGGTCTCAGCGTTCATAAGCTTACATTTTGTATGGAGACGCCGACTGCTCTCGCCATAAGCCTATCTCAGCTGTAGACCTGCGCTAGAACGCAAGGAGTAGACACACCGCCACTTCAAACTACGCCGTGACTTGGTATTCTGCTGGGAGCGAAACCTCTCACTTAAGCCAATGCGTTTGCTTATCTGCTTTTGTGAATATGGCAACACATTTCAGTGCTCAATCGGTCCACATTACCTTCACAACAAGACGAATAGTATGCCCACAGGTATCGACAAACAACATTCCCATACCAGTTAAAAACGAAGTGAAATATCTAGGTCTACACTTAGACCAGAAATTGACATGGCATAAGCATATCAAAACCAAACGACAGCAGATAAACCTAAAACTAAAGGAAATGTCTTGGCTCCTGGG